ATGTTTATGCACTGAAATAGCTTTTATCTCATAGCTGCTGCAGTTTAAAATGACACATTTCCTCATTTAAAATTAATTATTTTCTTTTACAAAAACATCAGATTTTTCATTAGAAACCTTTACACAACAAAAATCAACCTGGAAACTCAAGACGCTCACAGTAACCCAGAGCTCTCTCTGCTTCATTATATTGGTTTATCTTAGTGTGTTGCAGCTCCTGCGCTAAGCTTAGTTGTCTTAGCTGCCAGCACTTCAGAAAAATAGAAGAAATCAAATTAAAAACGATGCGTTCAAAGTCGACAGTTCATCCCTCCGGTCACTGTGATGGTCTCTCCGGTGATGTAGGACGCTTCCTTGGAGCACAAGAACGCGATCACACCTCCAATTTCCTCCGGTTCTCCAACTCTGACAGGAGAGGCAAATTCAACGTGTCAAATCCTGGACTCTGAATATTACCAACAAGCTTTCCTGTGACCTTGAACTTCACCTTTTAATGCATAGCTGCTTTTTGAACTCATCCGCGATGCCTTCATTCTGCCACAGCTGGAACAAAAGAGTTTATTATAAAAAGTACAACACTAATAAGAGAAAGCACGACTGAAATGCAACAAAGACCACATTTTTCGCAAAGGACTCCAGCGCGTGTCCTCACCGCAGAGCTGAAGCGGGTCTTGATTATTCCAGGGGCCACGCAGTTCACTCTTATGTTGCTCTGAGCCAGCTCAGGGGCCAGAGCCCGGGTTAGACCCAGCAAGGCCGTCTTACTCACGCTGTAAGGACCCAAAGCCTGGAGAGGTGCACGTGCACGCCACGTGAACAGGTTTGCAGAAACAAAACAGAGCATGTCACTTCTTTACATTCAGGTTTATGTCTCACTGGCTTTAATGATAGTCATGTGCATATATTCATTATTAGCTGCTTTCAGCTGCTTCCTTATTAACACGGCGCCACAGCAGGTGCCTCTGCATGTTTGACTTGGCACATTTTTTATGCCAGATGCCCTTCCAGACACAACCGCCAAGGGACTTTTATGTTCTCCTGAAATCAAACCGGTACGGTTAGGTAAATGTATAAACCACTACACTAAGACTACCTTACCAAACAGAGTTTCTAAGACTTTTCTCCCACTTCAAAAGCCATAAAAGCTCAGGCTCCACACCTCAAGATTATCACACCACACCGTTAATGCAGTGTCAAACACTGGCAGATACTGGAGTCTGTGAGTAACATAGATGCTTAACATTACAACTTTTCTCCAGAGAATTGCTTTCTCACTTCCATCTCTATGTCTCGATGTGATGTAAGGAGGCGACCAACCAATCCTGACTGCACTGATGAGATTCAGTCACAGCACCACACGAATTCCTG